TTAAAAACAAATGTACTATGTTCTACTTCAGAAACTGACCAAGGTGTAGGTCACACATAGAACTGTGCATGCATTTTATTAACTAACTTTACATATACATACTACCAATTTTTGAGGATGACAGTATCTACGAACACATATAATCTAATATCTAGCACCTTATCTCTAAGAACACAGTTTATATACAGTTATAGCTTACATTTAGAAGAATTACTACAAAAAGAATACACCACTGAAACAAGACAAAAATACCAAATTGTTAACATTGAAGTTGTAACACAGATGAAGAAGGGAGAAAATCCACTCAAGTTTGAAGCACCAAACTAAAACCAATCTTGTTTTTGTCTATATTTTAGAACAAGAGAGATCCAGTAATTAATCCTCAGACATAGCAAATCTCCTGTGAGTGTACAAGTTACTGTGGTTTCCCCTTGGTGTGTATACTCTGAGATATGGAGGCTTTGGGAGGCAATGATGGAAACGCCTGACTACTATTGGCAACCTTCATTTACCTTGAGGACTCTTATTCTACTTACCAAAGAGCAGTGAACTTGCCAGTGACCTGGCAGTCAGTGGCCAAGTTCAGTGGATTTTAGCTTTCCTGTTTCTTCCTCCACCCAGTTTTGTGGTTTATAGCAGAAGACTCCTGTAAGCAAGCTGGGCATTTGCCATGGAGGATGAGATGGTTTGTAAGTAATTAGAAAGAATTTACGACAAGAGTTTCTCTTCTTTTTGGGTTTTAGGCTATGGTCTGCTATTTCCAGCTCATTGCTTCTGTCTCCTCATACCTAAGATTAGAGGAGCTTTGAGGGGCCGAGAGCACTGGTCCAGCCCATAGAAAATAAGAGAGAGACAGAGATAAGGAGGGAGAGGGTTAAAAGCCATGACTGACCAGATTTTCTTTCCTTATCTTGGCAACTGGCTAGCAGCCAACTGTTCCTTTAATCTTTTGTCCGCTCTAGAAGGAAAAGACATTTTGCTTAGAGAAACCTCTCCTGACAGCATGGGGTTTGTCTTAAAGAAGAATACAACAGAAAAGACATTATGAGGGGAAAACACTTTTGATTTTTTTCTTAAAATATGGGGGAGGGCAGTTATGTATGAGAGAAAAATACAGTCCAGTAGTTTAAATTGTTACTCTTTGTTTCATCCCAACAAGCCCTAAGGGTTTTATCTTAGAGAGTTCAAATTACCAGATGATGCATAACTTTTTCTCTTCCAAATGGTGTGTTTTAGCCACTTTGAAGAGCTTTTTGGCAATGTCTAAGAAAGAAAGCCTAGTTTAATCATGTAAATTATTCTTTAGGTAGTATGAAAAAAATCTTTTGAAGTGACTTTACCTAGCTTAATTGGATAATTATGTATAAAATAAGGCAATGTTAGGCACCTTATCATTTTATATGTAAAAGGTTTTTCAGTGGTTTTTTTTTTTGCTGAAATAATTGGACATTATCTACAGCATTGAATGTGCTCTCAAAGATAGGTTGTGTCAGGTGCTCTTTTGGTAAGAAAAGAGGTGCCTACCTCCTCCTAAATAATAAAATGGCACTTTTCCTTACCTGTTCAATTTGAAGTAGGTATCCCATCATCTTTAATTTGGATTGGAGTTGGGGAGGAGACAGAAAAATACCTTTAGTTGCTGGTTACTCCTGTGGTTCACATCTCTCCCTCCCTGCTTCCATGGGCCCCCAGGTCCTTGTGAATCTCTGTCAGCTTGGAGTTTGGGAGGGATGGATGGGCAGTGGCTGATTATGCAGTTTCAAGCATGGGGTATTCCTGAAGGGCCAGCACAGCAGGGGGAGGGGAGGGAGGCAGGTAAAGGCAGTGGGCATGATGGAAAGAGCTAGGCAGGGAGTTGGGAGTGCAGAACTCTTCCCAGCAGCTGGTATTATTGGTGGAGTCTTAGAGAGGATGGACCAGAGAGGAAGTCACAGAAGCCCAGGGCTTGCTCCTCATTACTTCCCAAGCATGTTGAAATTGGTATGTTAGTCAAAGCACCTGCGACTCCTCGGCAAACTAGATGCTCTATTATTTCTTAAATAAGGAAATCATTAAATTTGAAACCACATCATTTCAAAGTCTGGTTTGTCTGGTCCCCGTAGTTTAATGGGATTTTTTTACTGCACATATGAAGTGGCCTTGGCAAAAGAATACATCCTTTAAAAACATTTAGGGAAAGCTATTGCACATGGGGATCTGTGAAGCTAATTATGACTTTTTTGTGTGTGTTTTCAGATTTTCAAATGACAAAACAGTATGTGCAGTAAAACCTCATTAAGTTGATAGTGCTTTATTGAAAATAGCACAAAATTTGAAGCAGTTGCTATCTCCAAGCTAACCAGAGGCCTTATTGTTCATTAAGAAGAAAATGTCATTAAAGCAGAATGCTCTTAATTCAAAGGTCCTCTTTTCCAGTCTCTGGTTTTCAAAAGGTCTTTCCCTTTGAAGAGTCCAATTTGCCAAAAGAATGGACAATGACTAGAATAGGGGAAAGAGTAACTTTAGAAGGAAACAGGTGAGTCTCGGTGCCCTGGAGAATGTCGTGTGTGCTGTTAAATGGACTTACCACACTCGTACAGGTTCTGGTTCCAGTTTGATTTGGGATTTTGGCAAACAATATTCTCTGATACACTTTGAAGGGGTTGAGCTTTAAAAATAAAACAAGAAGTTCAGTTTCAACAAAATGTTTGGAGACACTTACGTTTGAAATCCTGTTTCTTACCCAGGTAAGCATTTCTACTGAAAAGACAGGCTGTAGCTACCTTGAACTCCTTTGGCCATGACAGACCTGCAAGACAGTACTTCTTCCCCCATAGGAGGATTGATCACATAGGCCATTTCTTCACCCAGATATCCTTTAAGGACAGGTCAGTGCAAGACTTTGGCAATAAATTGGTATAATAAATATATGACTATTACTTTGCTTTATACATTTTGGTAGAAAAATAAATGATAGTGCAAGGGCATACTTCATCCCCCATGCCTTGTCTGAATTACCACAAGTTCCAAATTAATGGAGTTGAAATTAATAAGGTTTTCATGGACATACTGATTCGATGGGTCAGCTTGATAATATTTGGTTCTATCCCCACTCCTTTTCTAAATTCCAAACATGGCAATCCCAAATTTCCATGCAGACTTATTCACAGCCCAAATACATTGTTTGAGAAGCTCATGTTGGAATCTGTGAGGAGGAAGAGGTGAAAGAAAATATAAATGAGGTATAATATAAATGGGCATCTATAAAAATGAAATTTGAGTTCTAATAAAAACATGGTAATCACAGAAGAATGAGGGTAAACTCTGAATATGGCCATCTTTATACACAACCACCTGATTAACCTTTGCAGCCAAATATTCCCTTCTCTCACTTTACCCATATTAACAGTAGATTTCTGCATGAACAGTTGGTTGGCTGTAGACTTGCTTTAATTTGGTCTTCAGGAGATCAAAAACATTGGCTTGACCTTTTTTTGTTTGTTTCTATGGTATTTGGTCATGGAGAGATGTGTTCTGTGCCCTCAGAAATACACAGGTATATCCCTGCCCAAAGTAATTTCAGGCTTTGGGATTTTAACAATCTTTCTCTGTATTGACCCTAGGGGCAATTGAAATACTATAAAGGTTTTCCTAAGGTGATATATTTTAACAGCAATAATTAGGTTATGTCTGACCTCAACGCTTTGATTTTACAATTGTTTGAAATAAGTCAGATGTTTGCCAGGTATTGTGAAACCATCCTTTCTATCATGTCTGACTCTCTTATATTTCTCTCCCACATCAGCAGAGAGCTTAAAAACTTTAGAGAGAGCCACAGGTGGAAAAGACACATGGGTGTGCTTGAAGGAAGCAAAATGTCCATCCTGCCTTCCTTGCTCCCCATGTGGAGATATTTCTTGTCTATGATCTCATGGACACATAAGAGATTTCTGATGGCCACATCACTCTGAATTGGCAGTGTGAGTTTTTAGAGCTTTGGTCACTCCTAGTTGAATTTATTTATTTTTTACTGGAAATACTGTTTGACCAAATAGTCTCATTTGGAAAAAAAAAAAAAAAACACCACAAGTGATTGGGTGAGATCTGGAGGATTCTTATGAGCATCCCAATTCAGTCACAAAGGGGATATTGTAAAATAGTGGCATGATTTCTGTCCCACTATTATTCAAATAGGAGACAGAAAATGTTTTAGTGTCAATCAACATTTTTTTCATTTGCATGGAATGACCTCAGCTCCAGCCCATGCATAAACCCAGGATTTTATAGGAAAAAAAAAAAGTTAACTGTTTAGCCCCGTGGATGTGTGTTATTTTTCTATCTTTTCCCTTGGAATAGCTTTCCATTTCGTACATGTCCTCCCACTCTTCTGGACCGCTTTAGGGGATCTAGAAACCTTGGTATCCTAACTTCATGATACTTTCTGTTTTAGTTTGTATAACAGTCTTTGCACCAGATTGTGGAGGCTCTTCAGTTCAGAATTTGGCTCATACATTCACCAGTTCATCAGGTTCTGCTTCTTGGGCTCCATGAATGAATGATTTGGTCCACTGCTTTTCTTTCAGTTGAACATAAGCTGTTGTCCTGGTCCATGAGCTCCTGACCTGAGGGCCAAAAAGTCCTTAAGTTCACAGACATCATCTTCCCTTTCCCTCAGAACAAAACCTGGTAGTCGTAACTTTGGGGAGACAGATTACCAAACAGGCCCCAAATGGATAGCCCTTGTTGCTTTAATAAATTCAGAGCTTAATAATTTTTGGGGGGGTGGAAATTTTAGTCAGAATCCTGAAGTCCATGCTTTGAGGAGCACACCTTTAAGTAAAGTCCCTAGTTTCTACCTCTTCCATATACTATCTACCTTGTGGTGAAAAGGATGTGTGTGCAACACCTTTGCCTGAAATGGTATGGGTTGGCATTTATGGAACTGTGGGTGGTCCATTGAAAAGAAAGCTGCTCTTGTTTTCTGTGTTGTGGAAAGTTCAAGGTTTGGCTAAGAACCAACTTTAAGGTGAAGTAGCAGAATCGTGGGAAGGGACGATCTTGCCTTCAGTCCCACCCTCTGTGCCGGCTTCTGTTGCAGGCAGGTCTAGGTGGTTGTTTTCGTTTGTGGGCTTTTCCTTGCATAAGAACTTCTTCAGCATATCCTGGATTTCCTTCCTGATGGTCTTGTGCATGTATCCATAGATGTAGGGGTGGATGCAGCACTGCAGGAAGAAAAGCCAGATTATTATGGTGATCACCCACTGTGGTACCTTGGTTTGGACATCCACCCACACGGCCAGGACTGCTAGAAAGCAGTAGGGTCCCAGGGATAGCACATAAGAGAAAATGATGATGAAGATCACTTTAGCAGCTTTGCACTGGTAGCACCTGGGCAGAGGAGGATTGCTGTTGCTGTTCCGACGACTGGGTGGGAGGCTCTCTGGAATGTTCACTGCCTCGACATCATCCTCATTGAAATTGATGTGATCCTCATCAAACTCCATGTCATCTTCACCCAAGTCAATGTTGCACTGGTTGACCTCTATGCAGCCCTTGTCTGCCTTCACGCTGCTTTCCTCAACTTTGATGTGGCGTTCCTTACCCTCCAGGCTGCCTTCACTGGCCACCATGCTGCTCTCTCTGAGCTCCTTGCTGCCCTTGGCCTCTAGGCTACCTTCACTGGTCTCCGTGCTTCCTTCCTTGACCTTCATGCTGCTGTCTTTGGCTCCCATGTTGCCATCTTTGGCTTCCATGTTACCCTCTTTGGCCTCCACACCGCCCTCCTTGGCCCTGGCCTCACCTCCACCCTGGCTGTAGAATTCTCTCTTACCCTGGAACTCATCCTTCTTCTCTGCTCCCTCTTCATTCTCATTCTCCACACAGTCCTTGACCCGCACCTCCAAGCTGTGGCTCTTGATGTTGTACAGCAAAGCATGTTGCCGCCGGGCTGCGCCAAACACCACGGAGTAGCAGGCAATCATGACAACCAGTGGAATGATGATGAAAGACACTACGCTGAGAATGGTGTAGCTGGGGCTGGCCCCCCAGATCATGGAGCAAAGAGCATTGCGCTCATCAAATGCAGCCTGGCCCCAGCCATAGAGTGGGGGTGTGCTCTGTAGGATGGCGACAATCCAGGTGCCATAGAGGAGCATGTAACCACGGCGCTGGGTCATCCTGGACGGGTAGGAGAGAGGGTGGATGATGGACAGGTAGCGATCCACGGACACCACGACAATGGTGTTGACGCTGGCGAAGGCGAACAGGTGGGTGAGGCTAACCAGGGCGGTGCAGAAGTGGCTGTTGAGGGGCCAGAAGAAAGGCACTGAGGTGGCCACCACCCAGGGGGCCACAAGCGAAATCTGCAGCAGGTCGGTGACGAGGAGGTTAAAGATGAAGCGGTTTGTCACCTGCAGCAGCTGCGGTTTGCGCTGCAACACGAGCGCCAGCACTATGTTGCCGATGAACGAGGCAGTGAGGAAGATGAGCAGCACGCTTGAGCGGATGATGCCGTGAGCCAGGCTGATGGGCATTTTGGAGAAGGGCACGCACGTGTTGCTGCTGTTGCTCTCGCGCGTGCTGTTGCTGCAGGTGGACGTCATGGCGACAGCGGAAGGGCGTGAGACAAGGTGTAGGCTCAGCGTGGGCACTGGCAGGCGGTGAAGGGGTGCGCTGGCTGCACTCAGTGCTTATGCTTGGGGACGAAAGAAACATGCGGACAGGGTTAGTCTCTGGCTGCGGAGGGGACAAGCCTCCGCTCCCAGCAGCAGCGCTGCAGGACCCCTCCCCCGGACCCCCGCGCAGCCCCAGCCCCGTCTTGGCTGCTTCTCTGGCTGTTTCTCTGGCCCTGTGGGTCTCTCTGCCGGTCTCTGATTTCCTCCCGTCTGTCTCTCCTGCTGGCGCGTGCGCGCGCTCTCTGCGTGTCTCCCACACTGTCTCTGGGTCTCGGAGTTATGGTCTCTCCAGCTCGCTCGCTCGCTAGCGCCTGCGCCTGCGCGCTCTGTCCCTGCTTGTTCACGAGGGTCAATTTTTGTCTCCAGTGTCTGTCGCTAGCGTACTTTTTCTGTATCTCTCGGTGTGTGTGTCTCACCGTTTCTTCTGATTCTTCTCACCCTTGCCTCTCACTGCGTCGTCTGTCTCTGTTTATCAGTCTCTCTATAGCACGTGCACGCTGGCTGTTGGTCTCTGTCACTGTCTTACCTTTTTGTCTTTGTTACTGCTCTCTCTCCCTCCCATTCTCAGTCAGTTTCTCAGTCTGTCTGGCTGTGTCTCTTTCGCTAGCACGCTTTCTCTGTAGCTGTGTGTGCATTTCTCTCTCTATCTCTCCATCTTCTCCCAGTCTTGTCTCTGTCTTTCCTTCTGCCTCTTTCCGATCTGCTCTCATCTCTCTGTGTCTCTGCCTGTCACTACTGCGTGTGCTTCTCCGTCTTTCCCTGATGCTCTCATTTCTCCGTTTCTCTCGCAGTCTATTTCTCTGACAGCTTATATTTGTGGCTCCCTAGGGCACTTGTTCAGTACCACTTGCTATATACGTGTCTCTGCCAGTCTCCGTGTCTCTTCAAGTCTCTTGTTTCCGTGTCTCCCTAGGATTCTCTCCCTGCGCGTCTCCTGTCTGTTATTGGCACGGGTGCGCTTGCTCTGTCTTTCTTGGATCCTCTTGTCTCCGTGTCTCTCCCTATCTTTCCCCGTAGTTTCTGTCTCCCCATGCGTGAGTTCTCTCTGGATCGCTCTGTCTGCCTGTCTCTCTCCGTTGGTCTCTAGCGCTCTACTGCTCGTCTCACCTGCGTCTCTCCGCTTCTCAGTCTCTCTCTAGCGCGTGAACTCTCTAGTTGGTTACCCTCTCACTCTCCGGTCAGCCTGGGACTCTCGCCGAACACTTTCTCTCTATCTTTCAGTATGTGTGCACATCTGTCTCTCTCCGTCTTTCTCCGACGGCCCCTCACCTCGGTTTTTCTCTGGCTAGATCTCTGTCTCTTTGGATTTCTCTCTGTCGACTTTATTTTGCCATGGGAACCAGCTGCCGCCGTGGCCACCGTGAGCTTTGGCGGATAAAACGCCTAGTTTGTTAGCAGCGCAGCAGCGGCTGGAGAATGCAGGGAGGATGTCTGTTGCCCCCCCCCCACACACACACATTCGGCATCCTCCCTGCATTCCCCAGTCCGCTTGGTGTTGGCTGCGGCGGCTGGGGGAAGCGGGTGGTGAGCTCTGGGAAGACGGGAAAGGAGGCAGGGGTGCCAGGGTGATGGGGAGAGTCTGAGAGACAGAGCGAGAGAAATTGAGAGGCAGAGAGAGACAGAAAGAGATGAGAGACAGAAAGAATGAGAGAAATACAGAGAGGGGAAGTGAGAGCCAGAGAGGGAGAGACAAGAAATGAGAGAGTGAGTGTGAGACAGAACGAGACTGAGACATAGAGACGGAGACAGAAAGAGAGAGAGTAAGAAAAGAGCGTGAGAGGCACAGAAAGAAAGGGTGAGGGGGGATAAAAGAAAATCGAGAGGGAGGGGAGAAGCACGCACCCGAGAAAGTGCGAAGGAAAACGCGAGGGCGAGAGGACAGCAGAGGAAAGGCGACAAGGGGCTCCACGGCGGGCCACTGCGCGAGGCTGCTCAGTCGCCGTCGGGCCGCAGCAGACGGGGCGTCCCGGCGCGCGAGCTTGGGGGCGGC